TTGCTGATGTCAGAGTGTACTGGTGTAGCAAATAACAGAGACTTAGAAGAAGAAAAAAACAAGATATGGTGCCTAGAAGAGCAGAGAGACTAAAGACAATAAATAAAATAATATCTCTCATTTACCTTGGGCCTATCAAGTTAACAAATTATGCGCAGCAAATCAAGAGATTAATTTTATCTCATATTTCACTGACATTTTATTAAAGAATGCGTTGTACATAGACATAATGAAGTTAGAGAAGTCCACCTTGACAAATGACATTTTGCACTACTTTTAAATGACTATAGTTATATGTAATTATTTCTGTTTCTACATGTGACAATATGACATAGGAGTCAGGAATTAACTTTTTACCAAGTCAGTTTCAACTGTTCTCAGATATTTAAAATGTGGTTCAGAGAATACACAAATGACCTTTATCAGGATAAGTGATTAGAGAAAAGGGTGATGGTGACTTCATGTTTGGAACTGGGCATTTAAACTATATATAAGCCTATATAAGAAAAGGTAGGAAAAAGCAGTTATGAGAATCCAATGGAAGGACATATTTTAGAAGATTTTAACGTGCTGCTTTAAATTCCTTGCTGTCTTTGGGAGCTGGACAAGGTTATGAATTTCAGACTCATACTAGCATGTGTATTATAGGTGCAATTTTAGGGTCTATTGAATTTCTGCTCTATCTAGGAGCCTGTAGGATAAGGATAAGAGCATTGTAGCCAGCTACTCAGTAACCACAGATACTTCAGTCTTTATTTCGGTTAGCTGGTAATTCTGCAAAATGAATCTTATTCTGGAGTTTGTTTAATCGTTTGAAGGAAAGGACTATACCTTACACATTTTATAAGCAAAAACAACTTTTAGGCTTGTTTTCAAGAACAGAAACAAATAGAGTTGGCAACAGGACTTTTAAAATGGAAAGCTTAAATAAGCATTCTTTTAAAAAGAGTATTTAAGCAGATAGCCACAGCTGGATGTTCTTATCATTAGGCTTACTATGTCAAAGACTTCTATAGTCTAGGGCCACATCAGGTCCAATTAACTACCATAACCTGTGCGTGTTTGTGTAAACAAAACACTGTTATTAACAGTAGTATTGAAATAATCTGGAAGGGGATTGGTAGCCCTTCATATTTATTTGCAGCTTCTGCTATGGTCTTGTTTAATAGTGTGTGAGATGCATTAGCAGTGAATAGAGTTCTTTAAATTTGTGGGGAAATTTGAAAGATTGCCAGCAATAACTCTTTTCCAGACTCTTTCCAGATGCAAAGTAACTAACCCCTTCCTTTCAAGGGTAGTGTGAAGGATAGCAGCTAGGGGAAAAAAGTATAGTTTGATATGGGAGGCTAGGCACGGCCAACTTCTGGTTTTTGTAGTAGAGAAACTTGCAAGCTTGTTGATCCCACCAGGTGTTTGGTACACCAGTCAGGTGTTGGGTTCTGCTGCTGCTGCTGCCTTTGACATGCATGAACTCACCAGGCTGCCACGTTAGAGTCAGGGGTAAATGCTGAAAAACCAAAGGTAAAGTATAGCTGAAATAGAGACTGAGTTACCCTGTAGTAGAGCATACAGCAAGTACGCTGAATGCTTTTCGTAGTAAACAGAGTTCTTTCAATTTGTGGCATAATCTGCAAGACTGCCAGTGATATTTATTTAAAGAATTACTTTGTAAACAAATCTGAGGGATCTACACTAGTTAAACTAGAAGACTAAAATGAATCCTTTGAATTTTCATAGCATTTCATTTAAAATCATCGGAACTCTGAAATTAAAATATTAGATGTTTGCAGCTTTCAGGGATTGTAATTATTGAAAACAAAAGTTGCAAACAGGAAGATATTGAAATATACCTCTACCAAGCAAGGAGGGAACTGAATGTACTCCATGATAAGGGGAACTATCAAAATAAATGTAAAGAAAGTTTATATGATGAGCTTTGTCTTGTAAAAATATTTGTTGAATGATGTTACTCTGAGTGAGGTTAAAAAAAGAATACATCTATGGAAAGATTTGGGCTGAAAACTGTGCATTTCAATATAAAGAAATTTAAATTGAGAATATATTTTATTTATTAGAGCTTGCTCTCAACTTATTAGTTACCTCAGCACTTAGAAAATTTTCAATTAAAAATACCATGGTCTACAGAGAAGCATTAATGGTGTCAATAATTTCAAATTTATTCAAATGTGAGGAAAATTTCAGGAAATATATTTTTTAAAGATTTTATTTATTTATTTTGACAGAGACACAGTGAGAGAGGGAACACAAGCAGGGGGAGTGGGAGAGGGAGAAGCAGGCTCCCCACTGAGCAGGGAGCCCAATGCAGGGCTCGATCCCAGGACCCTGGGATCATGACCTGAGCCAAAGGCAGACGCTTAATGACTGAGCCACCCAGGCATACCAACAATGAGGAAAACTACGTTTTAAAAAAATGCATTATTTGGAAAAATATCAGTATGTGGTGCTAGAGAAAATATACTAAGAAATTTATTAACGTATATGAATATGTACTAAGAGTGAGTATGCTGCTTATGTCATTTTTAGCATTCATGTAATTGATAAAAAAAATCTTATAAAATTTTGTATATAAATGTATATTTATGTTAATATATGTAATTGTTATATTTTTGGAAAATAACACTTGAATAGAACTATTCGATATCTCCACCAATATAACATAATCAAGTTTCCAGTCAATAAATAAATATATGTAAGAATTACACAATTTTAATTAACTTTATTGTCTCTTTCTCTTTTTTGTTCTCAAAAAATGTCCTGGTTAGGTCAATAAATAGGCCCAGTAAGTGTACACACACAAACACATACACACACATATTAGATATATACATGCACATGTGTCTGATATATATATATACACATTTATATACATAAATAAATATATATATATTTCCCAACAATGGAGATTTCAGCTTTTGGTGAGAGAGATTTAAAGGTAGCAATATAGTCTAGAAGAGGTGGAAAAAACAAAAAACATCATTGCTTCATATCAAAAATGGGAGAGATAAATGGGTATTCCAAAAAGAAAGGAAGGTTAAAGTAATCCCAAGTTTCCTTTGCCCTGCAACAGTCCCCCAGACTTTAAGAAACTGTGTTCATCCTGCCACAATGGTGTATAACCTATCGCTAAGCTCAACATAATGCCAGGTACGTTGGAAGCCTCCAAGTAAGTAATTGTGGAATGAAAGAACAGACAGGCTTTACATGCTGTGAACCTTGCTAAGAGTGGGGAATGCAAGGCTGTGTAGGGCATAGTCCATGCTCATCAGAAATTTTTCTATTGGGGAAAGCAAAAGCCATAAAAATGAAATGTGAAATAAACTTTTAAGCCAAAAAAAATTCTAAGCGAGTCTAAAGATTAATTACAGCTCAGTTATCCCTGATGCTATTTCAAACAGCATTCTGAGATGGTTAGTTATCATAAAAAAAATAGGCCCACTCAACCAATTTTTTGTAACTTCTCTATTGGGCAGAAATTATTTTAGTTATTATATCAGCAAATAGTTTAATGGAAATGATAGTATGATGTACATACTTATTTAAATTTTTTCTCTAAACATATAATATCACAGCCATGAAATTGAAGGACTCGATGACTATAAAGCTGCATGGCAAACAAGCTAAGTGGTAATTAAAATTGCTTAAGCAAATGCAAACCAATTTGTATTTTTTAAAAAATCAAATTTCAACTCTCTAATTCTGGAGATTTTATATCTTCTGCCTTTTCTGCTTGTGCTTCAGAAAAGAACCTCAGAATTCACATAAAATGAATTAAATACTAAGATCAACAAACTCCAAATGCCATGGATAGGCTAGGAATAAACAGAATGGAAGGGTAAGCACAAGCACGATATATTTGGTTTTATGATCTTCTAGTTAAGTGTGAGAGCTGTACTTTGAAATTCCAGAAAAAACAGATGGGACGCTGGTTTGATATTTGGGAAATAAACATTCAAATTAATGGTGAATGGGAGATGGAGAGCTCATGGCTTTAGCATAAATAAAAAAACAATAAAGATAGCACGTTTTCTACTCTCTCAGTTGACGAAAGTACATTTACCTTCCCAGTAGAAATCTGGAATCTAAAGAACCCAGGTCCAAGTGAGTGCAAACAACTGGCCTGTCTAGTTCAACAGTAACTGCCTATAGTCAGGCCTTCTAGGGCAGTTCATCTGATTCTACAGTCTGACCTCGACTATGGACTTTTTCCCCTATAGTGGCCCCTGCGGTTCATCCAACTGTCCAGGAGGGAAGCAGCCTGAGTCCGAATCATGACTGCTTTCAACCTCCATCTGGTGGAGGCCATGTCCTTTTCATGAGGCGGATGGGAATGTCGCCCTATACCCCTGCTATTTTTTTGTTTTTACAATATTCTTCCCAGTCCTTGCCTTGCTTCTCTCAGTCCCAGACTGAGAAAGTAAAAGCATCAAGGGAATTTAATGGATTGAAAGGGAACCCGGACCACTGAAGAATAGGACGGGTCTGGAGTGGTCTTTTGGAACAAGGGGTTTAAGGGAGAGGCAAGGGGCAACTCTCCCAGCTCAACTGCCCTTCCTAGGAGCGGATACGGCCCCCAAAGCCAGCGAGTCCCTCCCGGCCTGGAAGACAAAGAAAGGCTCAAGGCCCAGTGGTGACGGGGTGGGTGGGGGCAGCGACTCGCGTGAGCTCGGGGACGTGAGAACGCAGCCCCCGCCCCTTTCTCCGCCCCTCCGAAAGGCGGGGCCCCAAGGCCACCCCCAAAAGGTTCCCCAGCGACTCGGGCAGCGGGGTCCAGGCGCCCGCACACGCCCAGGCACGGGCGGCGACGGGCCGGCGCTCTGGGGGGAAGGGAGGGGCAAGGGGAGGAGCCGGCGGGCGAAGAAAGGCCGAGCGGTCGGGTGGGGGCGGGGCCTGGGCCTGAGGGCGGGGCGGCGGAGTGGGGCGGGGCGGAGCCGGCCGAGTCCCGGGCTGCCTGAGACAGTCACTGCCCTGACGGCGGCGGCGGCGGCGGCGGCGGCGGTTGGCCGGTGGGGGTTGGGAGGAGCACGACCGAGGCTGCTGGGGCAGCTGGAACTGGCAGTTGCCGGGGGCCAACAGGAGGATCTGGAGCTGAGAGCGAACCCCAGGCCGGGTGGAGGAGGCGGCTGCAGTTGGAGTCCGGGGAGCGCTGGCGGCCGCGGATTCTCAGAGGAGCAAGTGTCTGGGGTTTAGAGTCTGCAGCGGCGGCGGCGGCCACGGCGGCGGCTGGGGCCGAGGTAACCGAGGGGCGGCAGCGGGGGTAGAAGCGAGGCCCCTCCTCAGGTCGGAAGCTCGGGGGCTGTGGCTAGGCTCGAACCTGGCTCACCCACCCACCCTTTCCAGTCGCCGGCCCCAGACCGACTTCTCCCCACGTTCCGCCGTGGGTCGGGCGGGGGCGGGAGCGGCGCGTGTGGTGGGGGCGCAGAGCTGGGCACCAACAGGGAGGCGACCCCTCATCTGGGATTGGCAAGGACGTCGGGCACCCCCTCCCCCCTCAAAAGACACACCCCAAAATCTCGGGCGGGGCGGGGTGTTGGGGCGTTCCCAGCCTTCTGGAAGGGAAGACCTCAGCGTAGAAGCTGCACCTCCGTCCGTGGCTTCTCAGAGGTGGCCCTCCTGTGGCTCCTGGAGGCTGCTCAAACCGAAGGTGGTTCCCGTCTCTGGGAATCCCGGAGTTCCTTTTGTCTGTCAGCTGAAACTGGAGGCCGGAACTCTAGGCGAACACCCACCAGCCCTGAAGCACTCTACTCCTTATCCCTTTTCTGTCTCGGAAGGAATTCTCCCCAGCAGGCTTTTCTCCGGCCACAGTAGTAGATTCCATTCCTCACCCCCATCCGAAACCTTTATCTTTAGCGCCGAGGAAGGAAGGAATTCACGTTGTACTTGTGTTTAGATTTATCATTCAAGATCATCCCCATCCTCCCCTCAATTTTTTTTTTTAACCCATTCTCATCCAGCCACAACGCAGGTAAGCATCCCCTAGATTTTGCAAACTATCAACAAAGAAGTGTGACTAGCCGAGTCAACAGAGTCCTTGACTGGCTGGACTGTGCAGTTTAATAGAGCTTCCTTTAACTGGCGCTGTTCTACCAAGCTACTCGGAAAGACCTTTTTGGCTGGAGTTAAGGATGTTACTGTGTGTGCATAAAGCCTTTTTTTTTTCTTTCTACATAAAGTTCTTTTTTTTTTTAAATCTAGAGTAACTTGATTAAAATGTAGTTGTTTGGGAAGCATAACCATAGAGGAAGTAAAATACAGAAAGGAAAATGTAATTATGATTCTGGGGATAATTGTCCAACTTTTTCAAAGTGCCAAAGATGAAGCGTATGGATTTTTTTTTAAGTATATGGAATTTTGAGATTATTTTAACTGGCAGTTGTATCCTTTGTAAGCTTTTAAGTAAACAGGCTCTTAACATACAATATTTTGCACGAAGATATTGTTGTTTTATTTTAGTTACTTGTGGAAATTGTTGATTTGCCAGATATCTTGAACCTAGAAATCTGTGAACAGGTTCATTAAGAATTTACTCTCTTGAAAAATGCATTTAACGTATGCTTTGGATTAAGAAGGTGTTCACAGTGGCCTGTCATTTATGCCACATAGAAGACCTTAATCTGAAACAGTTCCCTCCATGGCAGTTTCCCAGACGCCTGAAACTGGCAAGGTCTAGTACTTTGAGTGACTATCCGTCAACAAGAAATATAGAGCTACCTGTCTACTGTATACATGTAATCTCTTTGATGGCATTTACTATAATGGACATCTTTTCTGCATCTCTAATTTTCAGATACAGAATTAACACTTCGAATCTGGAGAAGCATTTTGTACAAATTGAAAGATTGGGCATTCTCTTTAGTTTTCCAGATGTATTGTCTCATCTGCACACTTGAAACATCCACAATCACATAAACTCCCAAGATATAACCATGGAGTTATGTGACCCATCAAGATTTAGGGAAAGTATTGCCACGCTTTGGAACCAGGCAATTTTCCACCAGTTCAACAATTAAACTAATATATTCTCTGCTGATAATCAAGAGTAAAGAGCCAAATAAAGTCATGCACATTCTATTGGCAAATGGCATCTGTGGCTGTTGAGTTTTACTGTAACTCGTTACTATATCATTCACAGTCAACTTAATTTGCAAGTTATGTCCTAATGGATGTAAAGACCTGTGTTGATGTATCCGGGATCTAGCAAATGTTGAAGATAAGGAACCTATTATGACTAATCCTTGGGAAGAGAAAGTCTGCAAAATGGCTCAAACGAGTTTACTGCAGGGGAAGCAGTTTTACTGTAGGGAGTGGGTTTTCCACAAGCTTCAGCATTGCCTCCAGGAGAAAACCAACTGCTGCAATAGTGCTGTCAACACACCGTCCCTTGTAATGAATTCTGGGAATAATGCTAGTGTTGTCTCTGGAAAAGGAGCTGCCTGGGGTGTGTTGTTGGTAGGAGGGCCTGGCAGTGGCAAGACAGCCCTATGTACTGAGCTGTTGTGGCCAAGTTCACCTATAAGCTTGCAGAGAGGTTTACATCGCCAGGCTTTGGCCTTTCATTTCTGCAAAGCCCAGGACTCTGATACTTTGTGTGTTGGAGGGTTTATTAGAGGTCTAGTTGCCCAGATCTGCCGCAGTGGACTACTCCAAGGATATGAGGATAAGCTAAGGGATCCAGCAGTCCAAAGCCTCTTACAGCCTGGAGAATGTGAAAGGAACCCAGCTGAAGCATTTAAAAGGTAACAATAACAATGCCATGATGTTCTGGTTTCTAGTGTTTTCTAGATTTTTTTTTAGTTTTTTTGTCTGTTTAAATTTTGTCGGGTACCTGTACTACTTCTGTACATTTGGGGATAATCTGTAGTTGTAAATACACATGTTTATTTTGAGTATTGAAGGAAACAGAATTTAAGCTTTGTGTTGTACAGGATATGGATTAAAAGAATGTCTTTTATTTTACTTGTTTAATAACAGAATGTGAAACACTGCAGAAACTTAATTTTTTTTAAACTTATGGCAATTGTTTATTTACTTTTCTAATGTTATCTATAACTAATAAAGGATATTTGTTCTTATGGTAGAGAAAACCACTTAGCTGCCTGGAAAATAGGCTACATTTTGAGGGAGGGTGAACTGTACATGACGCCGAATTTAAAGGAACTCTCAGCATAGAATCTCCTATCTTTTTTGCTTGTAGTATTATTATTTCTCTAAGTAAGACAAGTCCTTTTTGAAAGAGATCATTGGCCATTGAGAATCTGAAGAAAGTCTGCGTTTGGGGTTTAGTCCCCTTTCAAGTAAACAAAAAGTTAAGTGGTACTTTTAAAAATGTGATATTTATAAAATAATGAAAATCTGGCATAATTTTAGTACTTTTAGTGAGCAGTATGAAAAACAACTTCTTCCTAACTTCAGTTAAGCATTTTTCCATTGATAAATGGATTGGTCTAAGAAAAGAGCAAGTGAGCAAAGAAAACATGACTCTTTGAAAATAATTTTTTGCATATCACTCCTCTGCTCATTGTAAAAGAAAGCAGGGAAGTTCTTACTTTTGTGCTTGTTATTGCCTCACTGCTGCTTGAATTACTCATTTTGCATATACTTTTATCCCTACACTGTAAGTATTTCTTAGCAGGCAAAAGTTTGTCCCCCAAAGCTGCAGGTATACTGTGTGGTGATTAGCGTACGTGTGTGTGTGTAGCTGTCTGTCTGTCTGTCTGTTTCTCTGTGTGTCTCTAGGAGTCATTTAAGCAGGATTTGAATTGCTTTGAAAGGAGTGGTGTTTATTTTTATGATGTCCTCCTACCTAATGGTATGAAAACTATTAATTTTTAAGTGATACTGAAAATATTAATAGTATAGTAAACATTATGTGTCAGTCAGTGTTCTAAATGATTTACAAATACCGAATTATTTTCATAGTAATCCTGTGAAATAGATACTATTATTCCCATTTCATGGATGAGGAAACCGATGCACAGAAAGCCTAAGTAACTTGTCCAAGGTTAAAGGCTAGTAAGTGGCAGAGCTGGGATTTGAAGTATGTGTGTATGTATACAGGTTTGTAATCAAATTCTTTGAAGGACTTGAGGGGGAGAGTAGATTAGAAGTTTGTGGAGGACAGGGGTGTGTGTCACAGTTGTGATTTGAGTGTAGGTTCCAGATTACCCGTGTAAGTGATACAGTAGTAGGCCGGAATGATCTTTATGGATAGTGGTATGGAATTCAAACATGGGATGGGTATATTAAAGTCACCCAAAGGGATGTGTCTCTGCGAGGTGTGATATTATTGCAGAGTTTTTAATGTATAAGTGCAGTCCAATAAAACTCAGGGCAAATCTGTTATCTTTTGCTTTTAGCCACCAACATCAGGGTTAAAACTAGTAGATCATTTTTAAATAACAAGTAAATCTGTTAGGTGATACTGGTGCACAAATATGAAATACCAGGTTCAGTGGACAGTTTTAAATGTGAAATCACTGTCTATAGAATCAGTGTCTTTAATATGTAAATCTCTACTTTTTAAGAGACTTAAATCTCTGTACATAAACAACTCTTTTCCTATTGACTTCCTACTTTTTCTGAAGATCCTATCCCTAGTTGAAGAGCTGAATTTTCATTTTTTATAATTTCATTTCTTATAAGTTATTTGGATTTAACACCTTAGGAAATCAGTTTCAAAGAACTTAGCTAACTAAGTTGAACTTAGTCCAACTAAATTAGGTAATTATACAATTTATTTTCTTGGAATTTATATGTAAATTTCAAATGCCTTTAAATATTTAAAATAATGTCTGATAACTATATTTTTGCTATATTCTCATTTTGAGCAGATCTTTCTGTATGGTATCATAGATTTTTCTGAAAAAAGGTCCTTCTACTTAGATGGTCCTCCTAATTTTTTTTTCCCTGTGTGAATTTTAGTTATTAACTAATTGAAGGGAAATAAGAAGCAATTAGAGCTATATGTAAAAACCACACCAGTCCCGAATTTCTGACTGACAGAAGAAATTAATCACTTTGATAAAGGAAGCATAGTCTTTCTATTTGGAACATTTTGGTGCTTTTAATTTCCTCCTGGATCTTTCAAGAACCTGGGTCACATTCTTTCTTCATCATTAAAGTAATTAATCATTAAATTAGGTGACTCTGGTATTCTAACAACTGTTTCTGATAATTCATAGAGTACACTCTAAGACTGTGAAGCTCTAATGTAACCATAATGAAATGCAAATATGAGAATACAATTCATAGTTAAAGAGAAATATTTTTGCATAGTATATGGCATTAGATAATCTAAGCCTTTACTTTTGGACAGAGAGTTAAGATTTTATTTTAGGTTTATTGGTGATTGATTTGTTAAATAAGTCCTTTAGAGAATTTTAATAGAAATCTATTTTCTTTAGGCAGGGAGAAATGTAATTCAACAGGTAAGCAATCATTGTTTTCAAGAAGTTACAATATTTCAAAGGAGACAGAGATCAGAGCTTATTATAACATGGTGGGAGATGAAATATAAGCAAAGTAAAATATTTTTTCACTTTTGAAAAAATTAAAAACCACTTTTTTTAAACATCTTTTTAACATCTAACACTTGATAATATTGATGGTTTCATATATTCATGTGTGAGACAATTTAATAGTATTGGAAAATTGATAAAAATCTTAGTTCTTCACAGTTCCACAAAGTTGGGGAAATTGCAGAGAAGCGATTCAGTATCGAATGCATTTTATACACTTTTCTTCAGTTTACTTCCTAATTTTTTCCCTAGTATTTATCTTCAGTGATACTAGATAAAATATGTAATACCACAAAAAAACTTCTTACGTGAAGTCATGGACCTACGTGGTAACTTGTTAATTACTGGTCTTTTTCTATATGATAATAAAAATAAGAGGAACATTATTTTAATCTAGTTAAATGTTGCTGCTTTCTTTCCTTTCTGACATGATGTACCACCTTGATTTTTAGATTTAGTTGTCACAAAATTTCTTCTGACATTCATTCATTCTTATAACAAATATTTGAGTCTTTTTTTTTTAAGATTTTATTTATTTATTCGACAGAGAGAGAGAGCACAAGTAGGCAGAGCGTCAGGCAGAGGGAGAGGGAGAAGCAGGCTCCCTGCTGAGCAGGGAGCCCATGTGGGGCTAGATCCTGGGACCCTGGGATCATGACCTCAACCGAAGGCAGATGCTTAACCGACTGAGCCACCCAGGAGCCCCTTGAAGAGTCTTTTGTGTTTTAAGCACAGTTTAGCTGGAGATATTTATTGAGAACCTTGTCTGTGTTAAGTAGAGTTCAGGTGTAGATAAATCAGTGAATAGAACAGACAAAATGCCCTGCCTTCACGGAGCTTAAATTCTTAAAATAATATTTATCCGATTTCTATAAAGAAATAATATTTGGGGTAAATAGTTGTTATAGTGTCCATACAATACATGAATGTTTTAACACTAGTTGGAAGGAATTACATGATCTACTAAAGGGTATGATGAATGAAGACCCATTAATTTCTATTTTTCCCTTTTTCATTTTTCTCTCTTAATTGGTTAAATTGCAAAGCTATTGTTACTGTGTTTAGAATTTTTTTTTCTCATTTCTGTTGATGGAACTAAGTTGATGACAATTACATTTTTACTTGAAAATTAGAAGCTGATTTCTTTCGTTTTGCCTTTTCCCCTTTAGGCTCTTATTGCAAAACTTTGTATATTTTGTGTATTTTCTAGAGTTAGTGTTAGTGTTTCCTGGTAGTCATAAAACTGTAAAACAAATTCCAGTTATTTTTGACAGAAGTGTCAAGGTATCTAAGTTAGGGATGTGAGAAAGAGTTTCAGATCTTGTGACTGGTTTAGAAGCACAACTGAACGTGGTTATTTCGTTCAACAAGAATCTCCTTTTTGAACCTTACTGTCATGGTCCTTGAACCCAAGGATGTTCTTGGAGATTTAGATGGATGTGGTGCTGGGAAATACAAATTTTTGTTCCTGGTAAATACCATTCTCTAATTTTTATTTCTAGTTAACAGTCTGCAGGACCAGGTATGAGTTTTCTATGTGTGATAACAATTTTCCTTAGTAAAAAGATTTTCTTCTCTGTAATGTGTAAATGGAATAAAATCATGATGAAGAATTAGGATGACTGACTAAACTTTGAGAGTTTGGCAAGAAAATGTGTTAGTAGTGAAATGCTTGTTGGAAAAGAATTGGAAACTGGAAGACCAAACTGACATTTGTTTTTTATGTCAGATAGGAATCCTCAAATGGTTGAATCTTTTCTCTAATCTTTTTATTTCCTTCTTGAACATTTATAATTTTTCACTTGTATCTCTCTAGATTTTTAGCTTCTTTTGTAGTTATTTATGCATATCTCTCTGTTATCTCCTCCATTAGGCATATGCTTCTTCATGGCATTATTCATGACTGATTAATTTTTTATATTTACTGTAGTGCTTTGAACAGCATTTTGCGTATAGTAAGTGCTAAGTGATTATTATGCTACTTACCTATCTAGAATATGTTTGAGCCTAATTGAAGGACAGTTGAAGTTCTTGGATAACAAAAGGAATTGAAATGTTATATTATTTAGGTCAGTTTTCAATGTAGACCAGACTGGTATAGTGATTATTAATTTATTAACCTTCTGTGTCTGCTCTTTAGCATGTATGAATATGGCATTAGTCCAGATAGTTTAAGTGGCCAGATGTCTATCTTCTGTCTTAACTGGCTCCAAGTATTT